GCCCCTGGTCTCCTCCAGCCTCAGGCCCCATTTCTCCTGTAGCTCCCTCCGCTTTGATTACTGGTGCCTCCCTCTGTCCCTCTCGTGCCCAGTCCCAAAGCCCTGGAGTCCTTGTTGGCTTCTCTCCCTCCTTCACCCCACATCTAACCCATTAGGAAATCCTATATTCACAATCGATCATTTCTCTCTGCTTTTGTCCTGGTTTGAACCACCATCCTCTGGTGCTTGGATTAGCCCATTGGTTTCCTAATTGGTCTTCCGGCTGCAATCCCAGCTCTACCTCTGTCTGTTCCCACTGCAACGACCGAAATGATCCTTTTAAGACATAAGTCAGACTGTGTCACCACTCTGCATGAGCCTGGGTGGTGACTCCCCATTTCACTCCGGGTGAAATCAAAGGTTCGAGGTCGCCTCCGGGACCCTCCCTGACCTGGCCACATGTCTTACAGCTCTCCTCTGCCTACTCACTTCGGCCACCACGCTGACCCCCCCTTGCCATCCCGCTGCACCCCATGCCCACTCCTGCCTCAGGGCCTTTGACCTGGCCGCTCCCTCTTATCCCGGATACACGTATAGCTCACTCCCTCACTTTCTTTGAGTCTCTGCTCAACAGGCTCCTTCCTGCCTGACCACACTAGGATTGCATCACCCACACCCCACCCCCAAAACTCCCGAGCCCCTCACCCTGTTCTACTTTTTTTCTGTTTTGTAGTACGCACTGCCTTCCAGTAACTTATACAATGCACTTAAGGAGCATTAGGATCGATGTTTATTGTCTGACTCCTGCTACCAGTATGTTGGCCCCCCGGGGTGAAGCTCTTTGCCTGTTTTGCTTACCCACATGACACAGGCTTCTGGTACCCTGCCTGGCACATAGTGGACGCTCTATGAATGACTTCCTTGTCACTTTCCTCTGATCCTCGACTTGCTCCCTGAAACTGGGGACCAGGAGAGCATCAGTTCATTGCACTGTACTAGGTATTGTGAAAATCCCCAGGAAACCAAGTGATCCTGCCGGGTAGACTGCTGACCTGGTCCCTGCCCCCACTTCCAGGCTCATTCCAATCTTGTTCTCATCTTTAGGCTCTATCAGTGGTAAAGTCCTGGCAGGGCCCTGTGCTGTCATACCTCAGGGCCTTTGCATGTGCTACTGTGCCTCTTTCACCCGATGGCCTCCTAGGTGTCATTCAAAGCCCTGGTTAGGTGTTGCCTCTTCCCTGAGGTCCTCCATGATAGTCCCACCCTCCAAAGTCCCGAGAGACTCCTTCTTTCCTTCTTCTGGGTGACTTCTGTACCTCACGTGCGTTTCTCAGTGTGTGGGTCCCCGGTCTCACTGGGGCTCATCTTCAAGTCTGTTGCACCATCAGACTGTGAGCTGCTTGAAGGCAGAGGCTGGGCTCTGTGTCCCGAGCTGGTCCGGAGCCTGGCACACGGCAACTGTCTCACCAGGGTTTGTGTGTTGCGGACGATAGAGCAAATCTGACACGAGCCAGGAGAGAACAAAGACTGTTCGAAGACCCTTTCAAGGTCACCGGTTGGCAGGGAATGAACAATGTCTTATTATTTGATCATTTATTTATACTCTATTTTCAACTAGGATTTGAGGCAGCCTGAGATGAAAGGCACAGATATGGCAAAAACAAAGCCCTGTGTCTCCAACACCTTCCTCTCTTCCTCAACCGGCTCTTCCTCACTGGCCTATAAACACACCCCAGCCTCTGTTCTCTTAACAAAACCACCCCAACCCTCTGCAGCTCCCTGTCCCTCTGCAGCCGGCACTTCTCGCCGGGCCTCCGATGCTTGTCCTCCTCATTCCACCTGCTCGCCTGTCAAGTGAGCAGCTCCTAGTCAACAGCGGCCGCCTGTTACTGAACACGGTGGACACTTGCAGACTTAGATCCCACGAGCTCTGGTAGCACCAGACCTGCTGACATCTCCCCCCTCCTCCAGTCCTTTGCCTCCTTTGGCTTACATGCTGCTATTCTCTCGAAGTTTCCTTCTGCCGCTTGGTTCCTCCTCCCCAGCCCCCTGGCAGATGGCCTTCCTCTGCCCGTCCCATGAACATCTGTGCCCCCAGGACCCCCTCTCTGCTCCCCCTACACACTTTGCCTGAGCAGCTTTCTGTTCCAGTGACTGCGCTCAGTTAGGGATTAGTTAGGGTCATTCTAGAAACAGATGCCCCCTAACCTCAGTGGCTGAGCACAGGGTTTCTGTCTCACTTACATAAAGTCCATTTGGCAGCAAGGGGAGGGAGGGCGGGCTCTGCTCCCTTTGGTCATCTAGGAACGCAGGCCCCTTTCACTCGCCTGCCCCTGCCCCAGGCTCTGTCCTGCGGGAGGAACGTGCCTCCGGACCAGGGCGGGTGTCACAGACAAGAGTGTGGGGTAGACCACAGGGCGGGGCAGGTGGCCCCGAGTCCCCGACTCAGCCTGTCCACTTGGTGTCCCCACCACTCGGGACAGTCACCCTGTGTCTCCGAGCATCCTTTTTCTCTGGCCGGAGAGGAATGTGCCACTCACCTTTGGGCTGTTCTGAGGCTCCTTGAAAGCACGGACTCCTCATGTGCTGATGAGGGAGTCCTCCGTGCACAGGGACAAGCTTCCTGCACTCACATTCACACATTTCTTGGGCCCAGGAGAGACCTGCCAGTTGGCTGATCCTAGGAGTTGGGCATGTCGTTGGAAGAAGGAATCCAGAACCAGCCATGGGTGGCTTGCTGCTGGGGACTGTGCAGGGACATCCCGGCCAGAGGGCAGCTGTGTGCCCGGCTCCTCCTCTACACATTCGTGGCCCAGAGGATGGACTCAGCCTTCCCACCCACGCTCAGAGACTGTGTGGGACGTGCGGCACGGCTGATTGTCAAATCCATCACCCTCAGTCAATGGCATGACAGTGGGCATGTGTCACTGGCTCATGAAGCCAGACAGGCTGGACCCGCTGTCCTCTGTAAGGAAAGGGGAGCCGACATTGATTGAGCACCCACTGGGTGCCAGACATTCTCCTAAGTGTTTTACACCCACGCTCATTGAGTTCTCACAACAGCCCTGGAAGGAGGGGTGGCTCAGCACCCCCATTCACAGACTTAGACACCAGGACTTGGGAAGCTTAGCATTTGAAAATTTCAGTAAAAGCACAGCGATGAGGAAGCTGCCCAAAGATCGCGTGTTGCCAAGGAGCAGTGGCTGATGTTAGAGCTCTCTCACGTGACCCACATCTTTGACTCTCTTAGGACTGTAAGACAGAAAGGCAAGAGGCATGGACGGGGGATGGGAACACCTGGGTTTGAAACCTAGAGTCCACCACTCACCAGATAAGCCGTGTTGTACAAGCCACTTCTACCTCATAAAGTCTCAGTTTTCTCATCTGTCAAATGGGCATGATTATGCTGATCCCCCAGGGGCAGCTGAACAAACCATCAAGGTCTGTTGTGGAAGTTGTCATGTCCTGCTCAGATATTTCTTAGGGGCTTCTGTTTACTCTGGCTCCTTCCTCGGAAGCCTCTTCTCTGCAGAGCAGCTAGAGGGATTATTTTTTGGAAACAGAATCAGTTCGTGTCACATCCTTGCTTAAGACCTTTAAATGGGTTCACATGTGTTCCAGGTACCCTGCATGATCTGCCTCTGCCTCTCTCGCCCGGGCCTACGTCTTGCCCCTGCCTCTGCCTTTAGCTCTCTCTCTCTCTCTCCCCAGCCCCCTGGCCACCTTTCAGTTCCTTTACCGCACTGGGCTCGCTCCTGCCCCAGGGCCTTTGCACATGCTCACTCTCTCTCCCTGGAACACGCTTTTCTCACACTCTTCATGCTCTTCACCTGGCAACGCCACTCCTCCTTCAGATTGCTGTAGAAACTTCATACTCTCAGGGATGTTCCTCTCTTCTGCCTCTGTCTCAATTAGGTTCCTTGGCCTCCCTCTCTTGTATGACTCTGCGTGCTTCTGTACCCCATACAATCTGTCCTTGCAGTTTTACTTGTGCATGTGGTTTGGTTTGGTTTTGATGTCTGTCTCCCTCTCAGAATGTGAACCCCATGAGGACAGGCCCCTCTTCTGCTCTGCCCACCACCACGGGGGCTGGCACAGAAGGGCGTTTGACACTTGGTGTTGAACGAATGGAGATGCTTCCTGCTGTTTCCCCAGGATGCCCACAGCTGCTGTCTCAGTCCTGTGCTAGAAAGCGTGAGTGCTCGGCAGCGTCTGCCCCAGATGCAGTGGCTAACAAGCAGTTCCAGAGCTCTTTTCCCATCTCGGATCTCCCTGAACCTTCATGATAGTTCAGCTTCGATTTCTTCATTTGTAAGATGGGAGTAACTGGGTTGGAAGGTTCAATGTGGTATGGAATGGAGGTGTCCAGCCCAGTGAAGATATTTTAAAAATGCTGTTCTGGCGGTGCTTTGGCGGGGCTCCGTCAGTGAAGCATCGGACTCCCGATTTCAGCTCAGGTCATGATCTCGGGGTCGTGAGATCGAGCCCCACCTTGGGCTCTGCACTCAGCATGGAGTCTGCTTAAGATTCTCTCTCTTCGGGGCGCCTGGGTGGCTCAGTTGGTTAAGCATCTGCCTTCGGCTCAGGTCATGATCCCAGGGTCCTGGGATTGAGCCCCGCATCGGGCTCCCTGCTCAGCAGGGAGCCTGCTTCTCCCTCTCTCTCTGCCTGCCACTCTGCCTACTTGTGTTCTCTCGCTCTGTCAAATAAATAAATAAATAAAATCTTAAAAAAAAAAGATTCTCTCTCTTCCTCTCCCTCCGCCCCTCCCCCTCCTCGAGCGCTCATGCGCACTCTCTCTCAAATAAATAAATAAGTCTTTTAAAAAATTTAAAATATTAAAAAATTAAAAATTCTGTTCCATCCCCATTTTACAAATGTCCTCAGTCCCTCTGTGAGAGGTATTTCTCCCATTTTGCTGATGAGGACGCTGAGCACTAGAGAAGTTTAGCGGTTAGCCCAAGCACACAGCAGCAGGGCTGGGCACAAGATGGGGTTCTCTGCATTTTGTGTGAGACCAGGCTGCCTCGTCCACCTGCCAGCCATCGGGAGCAGTCCCAGGCCCCAAGGAGAAGCAGGAGGAGCCTCTCGTACCCCAGCCCGCTGGTCCCAGAAGAGCCTCTCCTGTCACCGTCCCACGTCTCCTCCTCACAGCTTCCCTCTGCAGAGTCAGCCCCAGGTGACCAGGTCTCCTCTCCCCAGGACCACTGGGACACTGCTCGGCAACTGACCTATATTCCTCTCCAGTGCTATTTGCCGCCTGAGTCCCCTCCCACCCAGTGCACAACCCCACCCTGCACAAACACCGCCATCCATCCAAGGACGTTGTAAAAATAAAATGATCACAACCTGGCCCTCTGGGAACTGTGGCTCTACAGCATGTCCTGCTCCGAGGGGGAGGCATTCACAACCTGGTTCGCAATAGAGAAGGAGGAACAGATATAGGGGGGCCTTGGGAGGAGAGAGGGGAAGCAGGTACTCACCCGCTCGCAGGGGTGGGGCAGATGAGGCACGGAGGACAGGGAGGAAGGGCAAAGGGAAGGGAAGTCAGCAAAATGGGTGAGAAGAAGTCTCAGGGACCCCGGGGTAAACAGCACCAATGGAGCCTCAGAAAGGGTGCTGAGTGGGTGGAAGCAGAGCGGAGAAGGGGCCTGGAATAAAGCCGGCGGAAGGGGAAGAGCAGGACGAAGGGGGCAGAAGACATGCAAGCGGCCAAAGCTGAGCACCCAGGGCAGGGGACTGGGCTTTTGTGGGGGAATAGAGACTGAAGGCGTGAGAGAGTCCACGACCAGCCTAGAGGCTGCAGAGTCAGAGGCGAGGGCCGGTTGGCAAGACAGAAAGCCAGTTCGGGCCGGTGGGGGCACCTGGGGCCTGGGGCACCGAGGGGACCAGCCTCTGCAGGCTGCACAGACGTCAGCCCCAGGGCTGGCAGGTGCAGTTTGTAAAGCCGGCTCCTGCAGAGGCTTCTCGGGCTCCACCTACCCGCCCCGGCCCCAGACAGCAGTCCAGGGAGGTCCCCTGCCCTCCAAAGGCCTCGGTCCCTCAAGAGCATCCATGAGACACTCTTACTCCCTCTGAGGTCTTAATGAAAGTTTTCACAGTCACACCTTGGATTCACCTTGAAGCCGTTTCCCTGATAGTGGCCCGGCTTTCATCTTTGCCTGGACCTCATTTCCTCTTGTGGACAGATTTCGAGAAAAGTCTTCAAGCCCAGCAACTCCTGGCTCTGTTATGCTTAAAGGTCTGTTCTTCAGCATCTCTTACTGACAGAGGCAAGACTGCACCCAGGGCTCTGTGTTCTCAAAGCCTGCCTTCTTGCTGAGAGACACTAATGCCTCTCATTACAGTGGAGCGAACGGAGGTGCCGGGAAGTCCTGGAGGAAGGAGAGGAGAGCTGACGCAGGAGGGAGAAGGGAGGGCGTCCGGGCAGGCCTACTATACGGACGAGACCATGGCGATGGAGAGGGAAATGCACATGGTGGGGGGCACAGCGAGGCCTCCAAGAGGGCCGCACCTTTCGATCCCTCTCTGCTGCGCCTTATCTGTCATATGTCGGTTCCTACCTCCCCGTCACTCAGCACCACCTTTTCTGCCCCGTTTGCAGCACCAGCCTTTCCACATCGGCCACCCTACATTCCACTCCTCCGTGGACTGGCTCACAGAGGTCCCGCCCTCCCCAAGAACGCCCCTCCTCATCTTGGCCCCCTGGACAGTGACTTCCTTACCCACCAGGGCCCAAGAGGAGCGTCACCTCCTCCAGGAAGCCTTCCATCATAGTTAGGACTCGTGAACTGTTATAAAAACACACCAGCGCCACAGTGGCTTGACAAACAAGAGTGTATTTCTCACTCAGAGCGCAGCTGAGTGAAAGTTGGCCGGGTTGAGGGGTGTAGGCTCTGCTCCACAGTGATATGGGGGCTCAGGTTCCTCCTGCAGGGGCTACACCATCCTCTAGGGCAGAGATTGACAAACGGTGATCTGTTTCTGTAAATAAAGTTTTATTGGGACATAACCACACCCATTTAGACACATGCCCTCTGAGGCTGTGTTAGTGTCACCACGACAGCTGGGCTGAGAAGCGGCGACAGACCACAGGCTCTGGAGGCCTCGGAAGAGAGAGTAGGGACGTTTCGATGGGCTGGGCCACGAAATACTGGGCATCGCCCGTGCCCACGTTCCAAGTGACCCCACCGTGCTGCCGGGAGCTGGGGGATGGTGAGCACACGGCCCTGTCCTCCTCACCTTTCCTCCTTGGCTTTGCGCCCCTTCTCCCCCCGCTCCCTGCACGCAGGCCCCCGCGGGATGGGAAGCCCTGTGTCCGTGAAGGCCGAGACTGTGTCTGTCTTGTTTATCACTGCCTACCCCAGGCTCAGCACAGAATATGTATTCTGGAAATAGTTACTGAAGAAAGGAATGGATTGGTCGGCACGTGTGCGCCTGGAGCGCTTCGTCAATACCTCCGGTCTGGCACAGACATCGCTGTCTTATACTCACTCCATGCCTGGGCGCCCCCCCCGCCCCCCGCGCCCCGTCTCTGTTCCACCATTTTCTCTCCAGGCAACTCGTGTGTGCTTACACTGTGCCAGGCCCCGGGCATGACTTTGTGAACAGGACAGATCCAGCCGTGTCCTCAGGGAGCTTCTAGTCCAGCGGGAGGGACCGGCCAGGAGCAGAGAATGACGCCATCGCGCCGATAAATGTAAAGGGGCAACAGGGATCGCGTGCTCTGAAAGGAAGGGGCCGAGCAGGTGCGCTGAGCACACCCAAGGAGAGACGATCTAATGCACGATGCAGGGAGGGCCCCCCGAGGACGTGACGTTCGGGCTGCAACTCGAACCACATGCAGACATGAACCAGATGGAGGGAGGGTGGGCAGCGGCATGTGCCAGGCAGGGGGGAGGGAGGGCCCCGAGGTCAGAGAGAGCATGACCTCCCAACGACAGCGACATCATTCACGTCATGACAGCTTGGACCCACTGAGGGCTTACTATGTCACAGGCCCTGGATTAAGTTCTTTCCGTGTATTATGTCATTAATCTGCAGGATGCTATGAGAGAGGTACTCACCAGGGCACAGGCTGCCAACATCCAGCCCCGACTCCTTCAGTCCACCGCAGAGGTCCCCCGAGGACGGTCCTCCTACTTCTCCCAGCTTCCTGTGCGGCCCTGCCGCCTGCAAGGGGCCTACTTCCCAGGTGAGCCCTCGGCAATGACACCTGAGAAGCGGGGTAGGGGGAAACAGCCCCGCTTCCTTGCCCCGGGCGGGGACTTCAGTGGCAGTCCTGCCACGGCCTCTCTGAGTGCTCCCCCCACCCCGACATGGAGGCTCTGTTGCCCACAGGAGTAGCTCCCATCGGGGCACATGTCACTGGCTTTTCGCCCTCCCTCCCTGCGCTCCTGGGATCACTCTCAAATAACTACTTGCTCCTGAACACTCGTCTCAGGCTGTTTTTGGAGTAACCCAAACTAAGACACTGTAAAGTGTCCCATTTCATAGATGAGGAGGCTGAGGCACAGAAGATTTAAGTAAACACAGAACTGACGGAAGGTCTTTGAAACTAAAGCACTGTGTGTGCGTGTGTGCATGTGTGTGTGCGTGCGGGCGTGTGAGAGTGCGTGCACGTGCGTGTGCATGCGATGGAACAGAGGCCGGTGAGGCGTGTGTGCAGGCCGGGACAAGGATCTGGGTCATTAACTTAGCGGCGCAGGAGGCTGTTGAAGTGCTCTATGCAGACCAGTGACGCCTTTGGATTGAGGCCGGGACAGAGTCACCGTGGTGACCGAGGCAAACCTGGGTCAGAGGCGCTAGAGCACATGCAAGGGGGTGGTTGGCAGTCACTGCGGGTGCCCTGGGGAACCCCCCAGGGCAGGAACACTGAGCTCACTCATTGGTCTCTGGAGCTCTGTGGGGCCCCGTGAGAGCCAGGGAGTGTCTGGGTGTCTGAGGGGCTTGGTTCCCGGTACCCTTCCCAGAGTTCATCTCTCCAGGGGGGAGACACACTTGGTGTCCCAGCTGCTCCCCTCCCTGCACCCCTTTCCTGCCCTCTTAGATCACAGAGACCCCCAGCTCCCCCCAAGCCCGGGACCTGCCTCGGGGGGGGGTCTGTGCCTGGCGCCCGGCACCCCCTACAGCCCAGCTGGGGCCGGCAGCTGCGGCGGGAAGGCCAGCCGGGCCTCCTGACCGGGCAGGCCCCAGAGGCCAGCACGTGGCTGGCCGGGTGCTGGCTCTTTCTGCCCCGGGGCCCTGAGCGGCCCGCCACCGCCTGAGCAGATGGTCTTGGAAGCGAGTGTGGACTGAACGGGGTCAGGAGGGTCTGGCAGCTCATCTTCCCCTCTGTCTCTGCTGCGCTCCTCTGCCCTTGTCACCGTCCTGGAGAGACCACTGAGCTCGGCCGGTGGCGCTGCGCAGCGTGGTGAGGGGTGGTGGGACCCGGCCCAGGCGTCCGGTGGTGCTGGGTATGTGGGACGTGGATCCGGGGGGGCTTCGGGGCAGTGGTTGCAGGACTGGAGGGTGGGAGGGTGGGAGGAGAGTGGCAAGGGGTACAGGCCACCCGGCAGATGCCTCAGGGAGCCCCTGACGGCACAGGGAGCCCCTCACCGGGTGGCTTGTGGTGGCAGTCTCCATGGGGGTCCCCAAAGGACGAGGTCAAGGGAACTCGTGTTTGCTGAGGGGCTAGTCCTCTGGACTATCGCCTGCCTCTCACCACCGCTTCATCACCCTGCCTCTGCCCTTTCCGGGGGGCCCTTCTCCAGCCCCCATCCCGTGGGTTCCAGCCCCCAAAGTCCGGTGTTGATGATGTGGTCTTCGCTTGCACATCCTCCAGGTCAGCGGCTTCCCCGCAAGCCTGTCCCCTGAACATTCCCAGCTATACTGTCCTTCCTGCTCCCTGGGGCTCTCACTCCCTCTGTCTCTCATTCCCAAGGGTCAGTGGAAGCCTCCCTCGGGCCTTTGCTCTGCTTTTGGAACTCATTGATGGGTCCAGCGGTGGGTCAGTCCTGCGTGGGGCCCCTGGGGCCACCCATGCTGGGAGGGGGAGAGCTGGAACCCCGCCTTAGCTCAAGGCTCATATCTGAGAATCTGTTCACCAGTGTCTGGTGTCTGCTACCCTCTCAGAGTGGGGAGTGCCAGTACCTGGCAGAGAAGGGCATGTGGAAACCCCGGGAGAGTGAGGGCGGAGGAGGAGGCTCTGCTGAGATCTGCTACGGAATTGGGGCTGTTATTCCTCTCTGCCTCAGGACCTTTGAATGTGCTGTTACTGCTGGCTGATAGACAATTTCCCTGTGTCACTGCCCACCTCTTACTTGTTCACATCTCAGCATAGGGACTTTTGCTGGACAACCTCCTCCCCGATCTAAAATAGGCCTCCTTTGAAACCTAGTTCAGAGGGCTCTGGTCTTCCCCTTCAAGCAGCCTTTACAACTTGGTTATACGTGTGTTTGCAAACTCGCTTATTGTCTCTCCCTTGCGAGATTGCATGGAGAGGGGCCTTACTGATGCTGTTCAGCCCAGAAGATCCCGCACATAAAACAGGGCCTGGCACATAGCTTGTACTCAAAAGGCCAAGGTCAATTGAGACACACTGTCCCTGTGCCTATAGCTGTTCCGTAAGCCCTCTCGCCTACTTGCTGTGCGTGGAGAAACAGAGACGTTAGAAGCACAGGACTGCTCGGGATTATTAGTGCAAGCTTGTCGTTACAGAAGCCACCCAGGCTTGGGCCCTCCCGCCGAGGGACAAGGTGGACTTGAACCCAGGTCTTCTGGCCCCTAGTCAGGTCTCTCTAGCCTGCTCTGGGCCATGGTGGGCCACTTCCCAGTGGGCCGTCGTGGGGGACCCAGGCCTCCCCGCCCCAGAGCTCCCTCGGATGAAAGGTGGGGGTCAGCGGACTCAGCCGCTTGGGACGATATGGGACGGGACAGCAAGAGTAATCACAGTCGTAGCAGGACACGGACAGTGGTTCTTCCAGCGTGGCTGAGGGCTCTGCCCGTACTGCTGCGTTAGGAATCCCCAGCGGCCAGCGGGGGAGGTGAGATTGAGGCCCAGGGCAGTGAAGTGACTTGGCCAAGGCCATCCAGTGAGGAAGCAGCGGAGCAGAGACTGGAAGCCAGGGCCGTTCGTCTCCAGAGCCGAGAATGCTGTGAGGGGCCCCCGGCTTTGCACTCCGCTTCTCCGAGCGGTGGCCACCTCCAGCCTGGGGAACAGGAAGGTGCTGAAGGAAGGCTGTTGCCAAGGACCTGACCTTCCTCAAGATGTTTCCTGAGATTCACAGATCCCCAAAGGCGGCTGTGGGCGTTCCTGGAAAGCTGTATCGGGGAACGAAGGTCACAGGCCTAGTATGTCTTCAGTCATTGAGGAAGAGCGTTGGCTTGGCCTCCTGGCTTGTTTTGAAGGTTCAATGAGAGGAAAGAGCTTGAAGGTGACTTGGGGAGATCCTGGCACCGAGCGGGGCTCTCAGGGGCTACGTCCTCCTGCTGGGCGCCCCCACTTGGCCCCAGAGCCCCGACCCCCTCTGGGAAAGGGAGCCACTGTTGGATCCACGAGGAGGCAAAGGGTTGGGGGCAGAAAAGGCTCACAGATGCCAAGAAGACCATCTAAGGTCATGGAAAGAGGCCTGGGTCGGAGGGACCCCAGGTTTGAGTCCTGACCCCTACCAGTCAGGTGAGTCACGTCACCTGCTGGAGCTCAGTTCCCTTTTGTGTGAAATTGGGTACAGAATGTCCACTCCAAAGGGTTGCCATACAAAATAAAATTGAGATAGGACGTGTGAACTGCCCCATACATTGTTCATGAAACTGTTTCTTGATCTTTGCTTGAGAACTTCCTTTTGTACCAGCAAGAAGCCACCATGACCTGGATCCTGTGTGCTCCTAATTTCAATACCATCTTACAAAGGATACAGCAGTTAAGAAAGTTCTGGACTCGTTCTAAACCCATGAACTCACCCAAGTTCTATGGTCCTGTCGTCAATGATTACGGTTGGAATGGCTCTGTTAATTGAAGATTGATGACTTTAATCCTTGGACTAGATCTTCTCTGAGGGCTTGTACTCGACAGATGGATGCAACAGCGGAGGGGGTGAGTCGAAGGCAAGCAAAGCATCATGATGTCCCCCTCCAGAGGGACCCTCTGACTTTACCCGGTCCGTAAGAGCCAGAGCCAGCCTGTCCTCTGCTTTTTGTGTAGAGCCAGGCCTCAAATGTATCTTAATTTTATTTACTCTTCTCAAACCTGAAATTCCTGCCCTGAGCAAATGCCGGAACAGAACGTCCCCTGGTCTTCCGTGGTGGAAAGTCTTGCCCAAGTCCAGCCTACAACCTTCAGAACAGGGGCCCCTGGACTGTGAGCACAGTGGATGAAGCTTTCAGGATTTTAGGAAAACAGATAAGCTTTGAGCACAGCTGGGCTGCAGCTTCCCGCGCCCCCCCCCCCCCCCGCCTTCAGCCATGGCAGCCTGCTCCTGATTTCTCTGGAAAGGCAGCTCCTAATTAGAATGGATCGAAGAGTCTCTGCTCCAGCTTTGTTCTCGGTCTCGATTGAATCGTTGCTTTAGGACTTAATCTGGTGTAGTCGCCGGTGGGCTGGGACCCTTGGGTCTCTGAGCTCCTCTCAGGCTTGGGCAGGCTGACACCGGAGCAGGGGGGGAGGGCTGTGGGGAGAGATGGGGGGGTGGGGTGCCCTGCTGGCACCCGGGGGGCACCAAGACCTCTACATCACCCCTCTCTCTGCATCCTCTCCCTCCAGCTCCTCTTCTTTTCTATTTTTCACCTGCTTTCTCTCCCTTTAATTTCCTTTCATTAACAACCCAAGGCTGTCCAGGAGGCCAGTCCCTGCTGGTGGGAGTGCAAATTGGTACAATTGCTCTGGAGGGCAATTTGTCAAATGCTATTAAAAGCCTTAAAAAAGTGCATAGGCTTTGACCTGGAAAGTCCCCTTCTAGGAATTTGTCCTAGAATATAATAATTGGACAGGGGTCCACAAATATGTTGCCCTCAATGCTTTTCATGAGTGACAACTTGGAAACCTGGAGCCCATCACAGGGGGTCATTAAAAATGACCATGTGATAAACCAACTAGAAAGGAACACTTTGGAACTAATTGGAGAAACTTGAATCTTGCCTGGGTATTAGCTGCTCCTAAGGAATGGCTGTTAATTTTATCAGGTGTGATAATGGCCTCGCGATTGGTTTAGAGACACATGACAGGAGGGCTGATATTGGGTTTAAACTGTTAGAACAACAGTAACGGGAAGAAACAGTGCTGGCAAAATCTTGCAAGTTCTGAATCCAGTTGACAGGTTATTTGAGTATCCATTTTGGGGTATCTGTCCCAATTTTGTGCATGTTTTAAAATGTTTATGATTTAAAAAGAAATAAAATGTGTAAAACCATATTTTTTTGATGTCCACAAGATATTGCTAAGCGAGAAGAGAAAAATCCCAAATAGCAAATATGGCATTACCAGATTTTCTGGTTTAAAAAATATACACGGAATTTTATATGCAAAAGAAAAAGGATGGAAGTACACACACTAGAATGTTCGTGGCGGCCATTTCCGGGTGGCGGAATATGAATAATTTCCACTTTCTTCTTTATATTTTTCGGTTGTTTCTGACTTTTGTTTTTGCAATAAGCATACATTACTTTTACGCTTCTAAAAAAGCCAGAGTTAACTAAAGAAAATTTGGAAATCTCCTACTATGCACTGAGCGTTACTCTATGCCATGTCTTGCAAAAGGAGGTTTGATATATCTTAATTCAGAACGCGGTCATTTGTGAGGTTGACGCTGTTACGCCCATTTGCTAAATGGGGAAGCTGGCCATCAGAGAGGGTGAGCACTTTACCTACAGACACACAGCCTCAGCTCTACTTCCACTCTTCCGATGTGACGCCAGTGCTCTTGCCACACTACACCTCTGCTTCTTCCAGAGAACCTGCAAGGAGTATCAGGCGTGGGCCCTGCCCTCCAGGAACCAACCCTGTCTGGTCCCCCTGGTCTCTCGCCCCCACGCTCTGCCCCGAGGACCAATTACATAATGGCTTTGCCAAGAACCTGTGCTCCCCCCTCCCGTCACAGGTGAAACTTGAACATTGCCCCTTTGATATTTTCTCCCAATGAGCCTTCCCAGGCTTCTTGCCTTTTTAGGATGGAAACAAGCGCTCTGCTCTTATCCTCTTCATATTTATCAGCTCGGCTTACTTGGCAGAGTGGAAGAGTGAACGGGCATTGTATACATAAATATCATAAAATCCACAGAGGGCTGGCGAGCCCTAGTTCTTAATCCGGGCTCCGTCACTAACAATTTGCAACTCAAAGAAGTCACTCTTTTTCTGTTTTCTCTGTCTCTAAAGTAAATAAAGGATAACCCATTAGAAAAAAAATCAATTGGTGCTCTGAAGAAAGGAGGGGGTTTAGACAACACTCTAAGTTGAGCTGAAAATACGTTTCCCAAGTTTTTGCTAATGTTGGAAATGGACAAAGCCCGGTCTCCACCTCACCCCATCAGTTCTCAGCCAGAGTACTGTGAGGCCTCTTACCTGATCTCCACGCTCCATGCTCTTGTTGGTCCTTCTCCCCAGCTGTCACCTGCTGGGCACCCCTTACTCCTTGCCTTACCCTGCATGCACAGTTTCTAAGAGGGGCTCCAGCTTTGCGCCTCAGGGCCTTTGCTTATGCTCTTCCCTTTGTCTGGAACGCTCTTCCCCAGCTAGCATCAGGTATTTCCCTGTAAGGTCCCTGGAAACCCTCCCTGCGCACCAGACCTGAGCTCCTCGAGGGCACAACCCCAGTTATCTCCAGCATATAACCGGCCCTGCGCCAAGACAGACGGGAATGGGGCCGGCAAGGGCAAAACCGAAGGCTTTTCTCTACATCTCCAGGATGGGCAAAACCTGTCCCACAGATTTAGGTTAGAAGAATACTGTTTCCATCCTGGGCTCCCTTGAATCTGTGTTTACTGCCACCCGTTTGGGACAAGACATTTTTCCAATATTCTCTTTTTAAAAAACATAACATTTAAGCACCCAAATGAATGCATTTTTACGTAGATACTGACTGCAGGAGGTTACCTCTTGCCCCTGAGCCCTTGCAGAAGGTGGTCTAACCAAAGCACCTGTCTCAGCCTGGAAAACTGCAGGGCTGGCTCTCAGGGCAGAAGCGTCAGGGCAAGCCAATGCATCCGGGGACCACCTGCCTGGGGGCTGCCCCCCACACCATCCACATAGAAACGAGGAACTCTTCCATGGTGGGACCCCCGCAAAGGACTCAGCAGGGAAAGTACCTGAGGGTCATGGTCACATCATGTTTATGTTTCTGGACACTAGCTCCAAAACTCTACCCGCCCTTGAATCCCCGCCCTCCCGCTAGCCTGTGCATCCCTGCCCTCTTGGTGGGTGAATCCCAGCCATGTCAGCAAGCAGCAGGGACATTCAGCTTCATACAACCAGGGAGCAAACGCTGAGGCCAGGCCCCGGCCTCAAGCCACTCCTCAGAGAAGGAAGGCAGCCATGGAGGGCAGTGAGAACCTTCCCCTACAATCCTAAAGGAGATGGGGGAGCACCTGGCTCCTCTGCAGGTGGGAGACCCTGGCTGGGGTGGTTTTTGGGTTTCACTGGGGTTTAGAAGTCAAGGGTTGCTCAGCTTTCTCCTCTCTGGATTGTAGGTGATTCTAAGACAGGGTCCCATTTGGCGTGGCATTCCCTCCCCACCCCCCGCCCTGCTGCCCCGAGTCCATACACATGGGCTGTGCTCATCTTGAGTCCCAGTGCTGTGTGCCAGGGACAGAAAGTGGGAGATGGGCCACCACCGTCACATTTTGTCTCTGAGGGGCCGGTGAACGAACTAGTGGGTGCCAATCATTCTGCTCTCAAACCTTGCTGAAATGTCACCTCAGGAAGGTCTCTCCTGACCCCCTAATTCATACTGCCACTCCCCCTTCCCCAGCCACCCCCTCTGCGCTCTCCTGTTTTATCACCATCTGTTGGATGGTTACTTTCCCCACTTGACTGGACCTCTCTCTCTCACTCTGCTAGAGGGAGGGGAGGGATTTTTGTTTTACTCAGTGACAAATCCCCATTCCTAGAACAGGGAGCGACACGTAGTAGGTGTCCAGCAAATGTCGGATGAATACATCTGCAGACCTGGCGTTCGTTTCATAAATGTCTGCTCACTGAGAATGGGGTCTCCAGGCAAGTGAAGATACTAATAACCACTTACTAGATTCTCCAAGTGGTGTGGGGCACTGAGTCCATAAAAGGTACACTGTTTTATTGGCTCCCTGTTGTGTTTGCAGTAAAATCCAAATTCCTTCCAGAAATGGTCTCTGTCTGCTTCACTTCCTTCTGCTCTTCCCAGCACACACCAGACTCCACCTCCTGGACACTCTGAGCTAGTTCACACCTCAGGGCCTTTGCATTTGCTGTCCTTGCTGCCTGATGGCTCATCCCTCAGGGAGTCACATGGCTGTGGGGCCCTAGCTCGAATGTCACTTTTCCTTAGAGTCCTTCCTGCCCACCCAACCCAGTTACCCCAGCACCCATCACAGCTCTGCTTTATTATCTGCATAGCTCTTAGCAGGGTCTGAAATGACCTCGATCATTTATTTGATCATAGTACGTTTATTGGAGAATCTCGACCCCCTTACTTTCCCTAACTGCCTTATTCTGTCCCACTCTGTTGGGCCCCCCTTCCCCCTGGGTCTTCATGACAGCGAGATCCCACACAGTGCAGGTGCTCTTGCTCATTAGAACTCAGACCAGGCCAGTTCAAAACCCCATCCTGGCTCAGAGCTCCTCTGCAGAAGGGGCAGGAACGGGGAGCAAGGGCTTTGTCTTTTCTCTCTGGGGTGCCTCGGAGCAGAGGGGTCAGGGGTGGGCTACTTCTGTTTCCTCACACGCCTCTCTGGGTCTGCCTCTATCTGCCGCTGTCTCCGTGGAGATGGGTGTCTGGTCGTTTTGGGGCATAACCCCCACTTCAGCACTGCCAGCAGAATAGGCCCCAACCTTTTCCAGGTGGGAAGCAGCTCCCTTTGCCCATGATCCGTCTGGGGGGCCCACTGACTCTGCTCTATGTAGGTTCTTATATGAGCCCTCTGGGGGTCTTGCACAACTGAGTTGGGGGCACCTGCTCTTCCTGCCGGTGACACAGGCTTCTCCCCACCAGGTCCCCCTGGAGGAGGTACAACTCCAGGGCATGCGTGCTGAGCTCCCCCGAGGGCACCCTCACCACCCCGTGCCGGCAGCCGGCACAAGGCTCCTGCACTCAGCGGGCACCCAGCAGGGGAGCGAGGCGCCAGCCTCTTGTTGGCAGTGCCCTCGGCCTCAGGAGCATTCTCTGGGGGTGGGGCAGGAGCTAGGGTGGCACCCACTCACCAACAGCCCATCTCCCCGCACTCCCTCCTCTCGACTGCTCAGCTTTCTTATACAAGGGGGGCGGTGAAGACCACAGGGGCCCGGGGGCTGGTTCCTGGCAGCAGGGCCAATTCTGCCCCAGGGAAGGTGTCTGGCCCCAGCCTTTTGGGAGCTCTTCGCATCTCTTTGTCCACAGTGGTGGGTCCCAGTAACCAATTCTGGGGCAGCTGGAAATGCCCCCTCCGTGGCTTCTTGGTTTTTTTGTAGGTTTCCCTTGCGGGCCACGTGACACGAGATCAGCACTGCTGGCGCCTAGAGAAATGCCTGACATACTGTAGGTCCTCGGGAACCACTGTCCAAAAGGATGACTCAGCAGGAAGACTGCTGGCTACTGTGAGCTCACGTAGAGAAATGACCAGAAGAGGAAGGGGCTGGACAGGGCCTGACGGGGTGATGCCATGTGCCCCCACCGATGCCTTTCACCGGTTAGCTTACTTCTCATGGTGGCCTCAAGGGTAGCCATCACCCTTCGCAGACGGAAAGACCTCCATCTGCTCCAGGCCAGGCCAAGCTTGGGGGGGGGGGCGGTGAGGCCCGAAGGGGCAGCGGCTGTGCACAGGGCTCTGGTGTCCGTGATCCTGGCTCTGCCACCCCTTAGCTCAGTTACTGGATTCTCTGACTCCGGTCCCTCATTTGTAGAAGCAGATGGTAAGCCTACATTGTATTAAAAAAAAAAAAAAAAACCTACATTGTAAGGCTTGAGTCAGCTCATATAGGTCATGTGCTTAGTTCAGGTAGAGACACGGCAGGTCGTGAACCACCCAGAGTAATCGTCATCATCATCACTATCACTGGGACAGACCCAGGTCTGTCCACCCCCGAAGCTGATGCTCTGCACGAAGCCCCCCGCCCCCACAAAGCGGGAGGGGGGATGCCTGACAGTGGGCAAGGGGGAAGCCCTTGGGGGCACCGGGGCCGAAAGAAGCTGAGGCCCCCAGCAACGGTGACCAGCGAGCGGGCTTTCCGTGCCAGACCGCGGCGCACAGCCCTGATGTAAAAGGCACTGAGGAACCTCTGTGGGTCTTTCATCAGGGGAGTGAAACGATGAAAGTGAGGTTTTAGGAAGATTAATCTGGCAGCAGGCGGGGGATGGAAGAGCCAAGCTTAGCGCTAAGAATCACGACTGCCGCCCGGCTCCGAGAGGCGGGTCATTAAAGGAAAGTGGCCTGGTTCTCGGCTCCCTGGGCACTCAGGGTTCCCGGCAGCTGCGAGGCGCTGGGCGCCGTACTCTGGAGGAGGCCCCGAGGGGGCCGGCAGAGGGCACTGTTTGGTCAGTGACTGTGGCCACCACAGGGGACAGAACAGGCAGCAAAGCCGAATCCGTCAGGAGGAGGCAGAGCTGTGGGCCCCTCAGCTGTGGGGCCAGTTCCGAGCCGAGCATCCCACCGTGGGCCACACTGTCGGGGCAGGCCCTTCGGGGACGGCAGGACCACCCACTCCGACAGGTGGCGGCCCCCGCAGGTGCCGGGTCACCAAGGTTCTGAGCACCGCCCTGGAACTGGCAGCCAAGGGGCAAGACGGAACCAGGGCCGCCCCGGCCAAGAACGGAAAGAGTGGCGGCTCCTACATCTTCTCATTTTATTTAAAGCTGTCAGGATACATTGGAAGCTGTCGAGGCAGTTCCAGCTTCTCTCCTCCCCGAGGAGCCCGAGTCCCCGCCCGCTCCCCAGTGGCGCTGTGCCGTCGCGGGGCACTGCCCGCCCCAGGTCCTCACAGCAGCGCCTGGAAAACCTCCACCTTCTCCCGGTACAGGTGGTGAAACTGCTTGGCCAGGCAGTAGAAGGGGGCTTCGTAGTTTTCCATCTCCTTCTGCAGAGGCAAGGTGAAGAAGCCCGTGGTGTTACCGCCTCCTCAGGACTCACGCTCCCCTCGCGTCAGGGGCCACACACGCTCGGCCTCCTTTGGCCCGCACACCAGTGCGGCTGGCTACTACCGCGCCCTTGGTACAAGGAGGAAACTGAGACATGGACAGGTTAAGTAACTTGCCAAAAGCCTCACGCCTGTCAGTGGTGGAGCTGGGTCTGCACCTGGATGTTTCTACAGAGCCTGGGCTTTCAGCCACGCTTGCCCCACGTGTGATGGGATGTTACAGGGAGACTCTTCTCGGCTTAGTTTTCACTAGGGCCCTCAAAGGTCAATGCAAAATAACAGATGGCAAGGACTCCCCCCGCCCCACTCTGGAGGGAGGGCCAGATGGGATGGGCCCACCCTGACCTCGAGTTGGGCAGAGCCGTGGCACACACCCCTGCCTGGGGAGCCTCTCCCTCACCTCGAGCTCATGGGAGGCTCCAAGAAAAACCCGAGGCCCAGGGGCTCAGGCCAGTGCTGGAGCCAGGCCTGGGGAACGTCGAGGTTGGCCCGGGGCTGGCGGTGTTGACGGCTGAGCCAGGAGAGCCAGCCTGGAGCTGCCCTAAAGGGACTCGGCAGGGACGGGCTCCAGGAGGGGGGATGGGCCCCAGCCAGAACCGAGGGCCAGGAATCAAGGCTGCAGGAGGGGAGAGGAGGGGTGACCTGTGAGCTGCAGGGGAAGGTTCTGCCAATGGGCCAGGGAGGGGGCATCGTGGAAGCACTCCCAGGGCGCCGGCTTGAGACACCTGGCAAGTCCAGAGGGGCTGCGGCAGGTCCCGGCCCAGCTGCCTGAGCTTCCCCCTGAGCTCCCTCTCCCGCAGGCGGCGGGCTGGGGGGGAGGGGAGGGGCAGGTACAGGACCAAGGACCGCCAGCCTGGCCCTGCCTCCCACAGCAGCTGTGGGAGGGGGCACTGACCGGAAGTGGTGAGGAGTTTTCAGGCACCCAGCACGGTGCATCTTCATAACTGAGATGAGTATTTTGTGACTAAAGGTGCCCAAAGGACTTCCTGTTCTCTGAGAGATTAGACAAGTTCTGGAACTGGCCCTAGGTGTTCTCTACGGGGTGGGAAGAACCGGCCCCCCAGGGTGAGCATGGCCAAGCTCTAGGGGAAGGAAAATGGTAGCCTCTCAACTCAGCTAGTGTTCTCTCACTCTCTGTGTGCACGTGTGTATATATATATTTTTTAAGTAAGTTGGCAGAAGAAAGAACCTGCTACTTTGAGCAGAGAGGCTCAAGCTGTGCACGCACAAGAAGCCGTCTTCAGACAATCTTTGGGAGCTGGCAAAAGGGCAGCCTTGACAAGAGGCAATAATATACCCCAGCAAAAGGGAAGGATTTCCAAACTGCAGAATGTCCTGAAGTCATCGAGCTCAGTGCCCTCGCTTTGCAGGTGAGCAGCCTGCGGCCCAGGGGTTCAGTGGCACAGCTGGGGTGCACAGAGCCCAGCCTAGGATTTGAGTTCCCCAACTGGAGAAGAGCAGCCTTTCCACCCTGCCAGCTGGGGGGACAGAAACACACGACAGAAACCGGTTCTCATGGAGAACGTTACCTGGACTTTCTCACAAGGGAAATGCCAAGAGGAAACAGGACAAGTTAGCCAAGAGCAGAAACAGAGGTGGCGCTGCTGAGGAACGAGGGGACAGTTTGTAGCGAGACGAGCACCTGCACTAAGTGCACGACTGCCGGGGACCATCAGCTCCCCAGTCAGACAGAAGAGAACTAACTCAGTCACATCCGCAAGGCACATTTGGTCGTACAGAACATAATGTCCCAGGCAACGCCAATGTCAATAGTAAAATGTTACCCTGGGGGCGCCTGGGTGGCTCAGTCGGTTGGGCATCTCTTGATTTCCGCTCAGGTCATGATCTCAGTGTTGTGGGATCGAGCCCTGTGTCAGGCTCTGCACTGGGCATGGAGCCTGCTTAAGATTCTCTTCCTCTCCCTCTGCCCCTTCCCCTCCTCCCTCTCTAAAAAAGAATGTTACACCAGTTGAAAGCATAGTTAAATAATGAGTAGACAGAGAATGAGGTCTGCATAGGACACACACGAGGATTTCCAAATGAATTTGAAAGCTCCTGAAAGCAAGATCTGGGGAGAACACAACATAAAAAGTAAAGAATTCAGTGGAGATGAGCCTTTATATATGCCATGGAGCACTCCTGAAGTAGCAGATGTAAACTGAATCATTTCCTGAATGCATTAAGAGAGTTTGCCAATGACAGGAATCCTTTTGTTAAATGACTAATCATAATCTCACTGACATACTATAGAGTACGTTTGCTTTGTGTGAAAAGATCCTTAGAACAGGCTCTCAGACTAGCGCTCAATCTGGCCTAGAATTCTGCCCCTGAGAGTCCCAAAGTAGGTTCTGTGGGAGGCCAGAGCTACTTCTAGAAGGTTCTCAAGCTTAGACCAGCTTTCTATTCCTGGTTTGGCTGCTCACAGGCTGGGCAACCAGAGAGAGCCACACATCCTTTCTGAGTCTGCTCGTCATCTGTAGGGCAGCGATAGCACTGGCTGTCTTGTAGGGCTGCTAGAAGCTTCAGCAGATAATGTCTGCAGATATGTAGCACACAGGAGGCACTCAACAACGGTCAGTTCCCTTCCCTCACCCTGCTGCAAGAGGAGTCCTCCCCACAGATCCTTCTTGAATTTGCTTGTGTTTAATACTGTCCTACAGTAATAAACTTTTTTTAACATGCTTAAAAAATGTTTTTTAATTTTTTGGTCTGAAAATGTCAAATATCAAGGGGTATTAGAAAGTCCAAGAAGGGGGGGCGCCTGGGTGACTCAGTCAGTTAAATGTCTGACTCCTGATTTTGGCTCAGGTCATGATCTCAGGGATCGAGGCCCCACATTGGGCTCTGCGCTCAGTGTGGAGTCTGCTTGGGATTCTCTCTTTTCCTCTTCCCCCCACTCACGCTCTCTTTCTCTCTAAAATAAATAAATAAAATCTTTAAAAAAGTCCAAGAGGATCTACAAAACCCGCCAAATAGCCAGAGCAATCCTGAGAAAGAAGAACAAAGTTGGAGGCATCACACGTCCTGATTTCAAACTATATTATAAAGTCATAGTCATCAAAACAGAATGGTCCTGGTATAAAAACAGACACAAAAGCCAAAGGAACAGAATTGAGATCCTAGAAATAAACCCCTGCCTACATGGGCAACTAGTATTTGACAAGGGAGCCAAGAATACTCAATGGAGAAAAGCTAACCTCTTTAATAAATGATGTTGGGAAAACCGGAGATTCATATGCACGAGAATGAAACTGGACCCCTATTTTATACCATTCATAAAAATTAACTCAGAATGGATTCAAGATTTGAACTTAAGACCTGAAACCATAAAACTCCTAGAAGAAAACATTGGGGAAAAGCTCTTGGACATGGAACTTGGCAACGATTTTATGGATATAACAGCAAAAAGCACAAGCAACACAAGCAAAAATCAATAAATGGGACTACATCAAACTAAAAGGCTTCCGCACAGTGAAAGAAACCTTCAACAAAATCAAAAAGGCAACCTAGGGAATGGGAGAAAATATCTGCAAACCACACATCTGAGAAGGGGTTAATATTCCAAATATGTAAGGAACTTGGGAAACTCCACAGCAAAAACATCGATAATCTGATTTAAAAAATGGGCAGAGGAGCGAATAGACATTTTTCCAAAACGGATATTCAGGCGGCCACCAGGCCCATGAAAAGGTGCTCGACACCACTCATCAGCAGGGAAATGCAAATCAAAACCACAATGAGCTGTCACCCCACACCTGTTAGGATGTCTATTACCCCAAGGACAAGAGATAACAAATGTCGGCGAGGATGTGTAGAAAAAGGGACCTTTGTGCACTGTTGGTGGGAATGCAAGCTGGTGCAGCTGCTGTGGAAAACCATATGGAGGTGCCTCACAATGTTAAAAACAGAGCTACGATATAATCTAGCAACTCCACATCTGGGTAAACAGCCAAAGGAAATGAAATCACTACCCTGAAGAGATACCCGCACCCCCACATTCACTGCAGCATTATTTGCAAAGGCCAAGACACAGGACCAACCGAAGTGTCCATCAACGGATGAATTAAAGACACGGTGGTTGGGATGCATTATGGACATGATGGACTAGTATTCAGCCACGAAAAGTGGGACAATCCGGCTATTTGTGACAATGTGGATGCCGCCTGAGGTTGTTATGCTTGGTGAGACCAGGCAGACAGAGAAAGAAATATACCGCATATTCTCACTTATACGTGGAACCTAAAAACACCCTAATCCTAGAAACACAAAGCAGACTGATGGTTGCCAGGGGTGGTGGGGGAGACGGGTGAAGGTGCATCGAAGGGTGCCAAGTTCCAGTTTTGAGACGAGTGAGTTCTGGAGATGGAATGAAGAGCGAAGGGAGAAGGTCAGATGACCACGTGGGCCCCTCCTGGTCTGCAGGACCGCGGCTGCCGCATAGTCAGGAGGGCAGAGCCGGGCGCTAGGTGTCAAGGATTGGCTGCGTCTCAGGCAGCGTTGGGTGATATTTCCTTTTTCATTACAGCTTTCTTAACCGAGCTGCCAGTGGTGCTTCTGTTAGCATCATCAACTCGGGGGACTAGTTAACTTACACAGTTAATACCAAGTGCTTAACTGCAGCCTCCTCCAGCGTAATTTACTAGCGTAGCAACAAACACCTACACAGAATTGAAGCGCACAGCCGAGGGGCCTGTGATGACTAATGTGTTGGGGGTGGGCGTTAAGTTTTGAGCTCTATCAAGAGTTCTGGGGACCATGGGGTACTGGGGTGGGGAGGCAATTTCACAAATATGAATGGAGGTAGAGGGAGTAGTAAAGTATGGCTTGATGTGGGTAGCACAGCATACGCTTGGCTCAAAGGCACGCCGCGTTATAAGAGGAGAAGCCGTCTGTCCCATAACCGTGAACTTTGCTAGTTTAGCATTTGTGATCATCGGGCCGGAGGCAAGAGCGACATCTATCTTTGTATAATCTATGAATACAAAACGTTTAAGTGACAATAGTATAAAGAAAATTGCTGGGGGAATGGTCATACATCAAAAGCAAACATTTATTGTTCACTATGTACCAGACTTTGTGCTGATGTTTTCCCATTTACCCTCTGACTGAATTCTCACATTTCTCACTCGATGAGGAATGTATTTTCTCATTCCCATTTTACAGGTGAGGAGGCTGAGGCACCAGCATGTTGATGAACACGCTAAGGGTCCCACAACTAGTTCTGCGCCTCACCCTCAGCCGCCAGTGTTGGCCTCTACCCGCTATACTGTCCCAAGAAAACACGCCACTTTTGGGGGATTTCAAAAAGTTCACATCCACACAGCAATTGAACAGCAACATTTGCCAAGTTTTGTAAATGCAACAATGGAAACGTCTGCAGCTTGAGTAGAAAACCACCTACCTCCAGGCTATTTCTTAACTAGCCCACTGACTCTTTCGGAGGGTCAAAGAATCAGGCCCGGGGGGCAGGGGGGCACAAGGCCAGGAGTGAGGTCCAAGTGACAACCATGGGTGTTTCTGGCTGGCAAGTCTCCCCAGCAACCCCGGGGACGGGCACTGCAGCCAGCGCGCTGGCCCCTGGGGCTACAATGGATGCTTCTGGGTTGCTCCTGCAGGGGGCAGCTTGTCACTTTACTCCCTTCTGGAAAGTCTGAGACGAGCGTGTCTGATTGGTGCAGATGGGGTCGCACGCCTGCACCTGGCTGTGGGGAGGCTGGGACCTAAAAGGTCTCGAACAGAGGAAGGGGGTACCCCAGAGCTGGACAGCCAGAATCGTGAGACAGCGCACTGAGGGTGGCAGTAGCAAATCCCGCTGGCTGTCCCCTTTCCCAAGGGCTCCTGCTGACTCTAAGGAGGGTACTTTGTGGCCGGGCATCACCCTGGGGCTGTGGCAAGGTGGGACAGGGAGCCAGGGATCATACTCCCTGGCTCAACTCTTCACTAGTCATGTGACCCTGGGCAAGTCACTTCACCTTCTCAACACGGAAATGGGAATTATGGGACCAGCGCCCAGGGTCACGGTACTGACTGGGGGACCCGTGAGATAATGCTCCAACGGCACTGTAACCCACCCTATCTCATGCGAATGCCAAGGGTCGCGACAGTCGAACCCGATGCACTTGTATTTCTCATTAATTGAGATACAACTACGTCGGCGCTGGCCGGCTGATCTGCTTTACTGTAAGTACGCGAGTGACTCTGCTATATCGAGAAGCATCTTGGACTAAGAATGTGCACGTCAGTTCCAAATGAGACTCTGCATATGGTGGGAGAACAACTCGATGCCCGTGAGGTCATGTGAAAGACCACTTCCAGCAGAGGCCCACTCCAGACTTGGCTCCGGAGTGAGCAGAGCTACTTACCACGGATGTTTCAAAACATTCCAGGCCTTGGCCCAGGGCCCATGCCTGAGCCTGAGCTGAATCCACCGCTCGTCTGCCGGCCAGGTCTGTCTTGTTCCCCACTAGCACACCTACTCGAAAGAAACAACCAGAGCATCGCATTTAACTGTGGCAGCCTGGGGAGATCGCTGGAGAGATAAAAGAGCAAGCACGCTAATTTTGAGGGGTATAAAACATTGTCGGGGAGAGGCCGCCCGATTCGAGGTGCTGAGCACGGGGGGGGGCAGGGGGAGAGAGAGGGAGAGGCTCCAGGGCTCCTCCCCTACCCCCCACCCCCCGCGGCGGGCTTTGCTTTTCACATGCAGCTTTTGCTCGGCCCTTTTTCCAGATTTCACGCAGATCTGTCTGCCCTGTCTCCTTCAGGCTGCAAGGCGAGGGCCAAATTTATGTGAGCATTTGCGATAATTCCTAGCACATGGAGCAAACGTTAAAAATGGTCATTAATACTAATCTAAGGACTGGGCTCAGAGTCAGGGACTCAGAGGTAATTTAGAGCCGTTCCCAGCTGCATCAGCTGCAGCTAATTTCTGAGCTCGTCTCTGGAGATCGCTTTCCCTGGTCTCTAATGAGGGGAATTTGTTGATCTCACATAGGGATGAAAAATAAACTGATTTAAAGCATTCAGAAGTGACAATAGGACTTGAATGTTTACTTGCGCCCCACATACAGGAGAAAATGAGGAATTCATCCCCGGGGCTAGCTTTCAGAAATAAAAACTCATTCATATCACAGCACCCTCCCCATATTATTCTCGAGTCTCCTCTCCACGCCCCTGCGGCAGGGAGGGGGGGCGGGCATCATTGTGCCCATTTTACAGACTCACAGAGGGGTGTGTGGTAACTCACTGAGGTTTCCGGGGCCGCTAAGAGGCAGAGTCACTGTACAATGCAGGCCACAATACTCTAAGCCGGGGACACCGCACCCCCTTTTCTACCCGTAGCCACCTCTGCAATGACCTTGAGCTCGTGAACTCGAGGGCAGAGGTGCTGGAAGTCCCACAGCCGACGGCAGCTCCTACCTGGGAGGGAGGTGTCTGGAATCTGTGACCGAGCCTTCTCCAGCCACTTGCTACAGTTGGTGAAGGACTGTTCGTTGGTCACGTCATAGACGAGACACAAGACGTTGGGACTCTCCCACTGTGCCAGGGGGACAGCATGAGCACATCAGTAACAGTGAAAGCGATTTCTAGGCTGGCCTTCTGAGGGAAGCGATGGGGGGGGGGATGAAAAACTATAATGGGAATGGGAGTCAGGAACCTGTTCCCCCACAGGCACCAACGGGAGGGCTGGGCTGAAGGCAAAGGCAGGGGCTCACCTCTGCGCCAGGCTGCCGGCTGGGCAGTGTGCTATGCGTGGCTGAGAAACCTCCCAACTTTGCAGGGCTGGTCTCAATATCCCTACTGAGCTTAGAGAGGGTAACTGACTTGCCCAGATCAGACATGCTTTAAAAACGGGTAGGACTGAGGCTTTTCCTACCCAGAAATGCTTTTGCCTGCCACTGGTTTCATTCATTCATTCTCCGTCACATTCCTCTCGAGGGCCCCCTCGTATGCCAGTTATTATGTTTTTCTGCTTTGCAGGCCTAAAAGAGCATCCTTTCTTCCATTAGCCAGCCCCTGGAAGCTTGTTTGCTGGCATCTTCTTAATAAGGGCTGGCTTCTCAAAATGCAACGAGCACTTTCTGCTTCTCCTGCAGTGTATCAGCCCTAATCCAAACCAGACCGACAACTGGACAGGGCTCGCTGTCCCAATTAAGAAGCAGGGCTCTGCTCTCAGGGGCTGTGGCCTTCAGGGGCTGCTCAGAGTCCTGGGACATCCTGCCACATGGCACAAGGCCACAGGATGGCCCTGCTCAGAGGCTGTGATGCCTGTCCCAGTATACGAGGCTCTTGCCAGGCCCCAGTCGCCGGGAACCCCCATCCTACACAATTACAGCCTGGTTTATTTCTGGTGTGTCAGTAACCTCCCACAGTGTGGGGAGGAATCCTTTTCCCTCCAGTTGTCCTTGGAAGGCTGGTCTAGGATTGGCTCTGGAGGGCTCACTGTACCCCAAGGCTATGCTGCCACTTGGACCGAACTGATGAACACGCCCCACCCCCGACATACACAGCTTCACTCTGCAGACTAACTCAAGAACTCTTGCTAGAACCACAATGACCTCTCCTTTGTGCATGCAGGGGACACCTCCTCCCCCTAGGCCTCAGTGAGAGGACCCAGGAGAGGCCAGGGATCAAGCTGGAGCCAGAGCAGGAACCCAGCGTCAGGGCCTGGCTGGGAGCAGGGGGTGGGCTGATCGGTACTGCTCTGGCTTGCCCAGACACACCCTTCTGCCCAGTAGGGCCTTGCCCAGTGAGAGGCCATGCACACAGCGGGCACGTTGTAAGCATCACAGATGGATGTGTGAAGCCAAGCCCATGAGAAATGACCGTCATTACATCTATTTCTCTTAGACAACAAAAAAGGGGCAGAAAAGAGTTTCTATTAAAATGTAGCCGTTCTTGGAAAGGCAGGGGAGGGCTCTGGAGGGCTCAAACCTTCTAATTAGCTCACTGGCCCAGATTAGCGGAACTGTTACCTTGGAAGGAACAGCGAGCTGGATCCTGTGAGGATGGCTGGGTGGGCCAGAGAAGCCCCGGGCGGCCGCACGCGCAGGTCCCAGAGCAAACCCCAGGCTGGGCCCAGGAGGTGGGAGGGGAAGGTGAGCCTTGCTATGGGGCCTCCAGGGTGCCCCCTAGAGGGGAAGGAAATGTTTGCTTCAGTCCTAGGAGGTTGGGGAGTGCTGACTGTGCACCATCCGGAGGGAGCTGGTGAAAGCAGGGGGGCCCAGAGCGCTGCGGGGACTGAGTCACACAGCTCGGGCACATTTGGAACCTGGCCATTCCAGAGCTGGGGGAGGGGAATCACGTGCACGAGCCGGTCCTCCTGGCCAAGGGGCCGTGAGTCCCAAGGCTGGGAGGACTGCCCCTGAAAGAATTCAGCCATGGTAGCTTCTCTTGGCAGCCAGACTGCAGTGACATTTCTGGGAGAGCATCGAAAGGGGAAACTCTGTGGTGGAAGGTGGTGGTTAGGAAAAAGATCGCACGCTACTTGCCAGTTTATCCAGCATTTCAGAAAACATCTCCTTGCCGGCAGAGTCAAAAATGAAGAGTTCCTAGAACCAGAAAGGCATGTCCCGAGAAAGTCTACATGTAGGGAAATCGCTGGCTGCGAGTCCCCGAGGTGACACTCGGCTCCCTGCAGACCTGTCTTGGGATGAGATACACCCATTTCCACAGAGCCTCTCTCTCTTCCCCGAGGCTCAGGGAAGATGATGGGGGAAAGGAAGGATCTCAAGAGCCAGAGACAGGCAGCGCAATGGTTCACCACACCAACTAGCACTTTCTGTGCGGCAGCTCACCCCTCCTAACCCCGAGTGCAAAAATACCAGGAACAAGCTGACTTCCCACCTGGCAGAACAGAATGCTAAACAGGCTGACAAGTGCTCTGGTTTCCAAAAGGTCATTCTGCACTTTGTTAACCAAATTGATTTTCAAATCTTAAAACAATTCTTTTTAAAGCAGGTCACTGAGGAGGCCTGGAGAAGGCATTTTAAAGTAGGACAGCCTGCCACCCTGCCCCGATGGTGGAGGGGAGCCTTCCTGCCCCTCGACCCAACTTCAGCCAGCCCATGCGAGGGCCCCTCCCCGATGTTGCTGCTCTGGGAAGTCCCCCCCCCCTTTGGCTCCCCTGGGCACTGGATGCCTCCTGGCTGGCTTCTGACCCCGGCACCCGCTGTCTGAAGGTCAGTGCTGTAACCTGCGCTCATTTCTGCCTGCATCAGGGGTACTTAAAGTTGTGTTTTTTCATGGATCTCTTTAAGAAGGTGGTGATTCTTCAACCTTCTCGCCAGGACGGTACTACAAACGTAATGCCTTGCAATTCAATTTCCAGAGTTATGGATTCCAAAAAAGGGACCCGGGTTAAGAACCCTGATACTACGCCAGTTCTGTGAGCACAGGGCCCCCATCCCTCTCTTCCTCCTCCCTCTCCTTCGGCCTGGGTCAGCGACGCTTCCCAAGTGCTCAGAAAAGCCTAGGCCAAATCCTTGCATCGCATCCCTCTTAGGGAGCATGACACTGACCATGGGGACTCTGGGCCCAGCTGGAGGAGCACTGAGCTCTCCGGGGTCAAGGGCACCACTTACCACACTGTCCCCCGTGTCAGAAACTGGCACCGTCTTCACCACCAAGTCCACCCCTGTCGTCTGCGGGGGGAAAACCGAGAGCGTGCACGTCAGAGGGTCCCAAGAGGCGTGTTGCAGGACACAACGAACACCCGATGCCCAGAAGGTACAAGCACTATGTTCTGGATTTGTTGTTGGTGAAGTCAGACAGGACCGACTAGCCTCGTCCAGCTCCCTGCCCACAAGGAGTGGTACATGGGGACCAAGCCGAACACCAGCCAGCCAGTCTGTTCCACAGACAGCCTTGTGCCCTGTGGCTTGTGGAAAAATGCTCTCCATGTGGCCATGCTCTCTTAGGGCTCCTTAAGAAATTCTGGAAAGTCACTCCCTCAGGGTTAGGGGACGGCTCCTGCTCTTTAAGCCTCGGCCAGCCCACGACTCCCACATCTCACCAGGGTGTAGTTCTTCTGGAAATGGGCCCCGTCACTGCGGAAGATCTGCGCCAGGGCGGTCTTGCCCACTGCTGGGTCTCCTGTGAGGTCAGAGAAGAAAATCATCATTGCCCTCCTGATCTGACTGGACAATCTCGCACTCCACAACGCTAGCTAGAAACCAGAAACTTCAATGACTTTTCAGAGAAAATGTACTTGATTCTCCTGGGGGCTTGTGTGAGGTGGCTGGTGGGGCCACGGGTCCAGGAGAGCAATCTTCAAAGCCTAGTCGCGTTTCTTCAAGGGTAATTCTTTCATCCAAAAGAACCGACCCAGAAGGTAACAGAGCTTAAGAGGGGATTTCGAGCACTAGAAACAGAACTAACATCTGCCACTGAACACACCCCATGGGGAAAAACTCTCACTTTCAAACTTGAATTTACTTTGAAGTCTTGAAGGTAAAGGGGTGTGACCAGGCTCAGTCTTATGGGGCTCACCTGCCTAACAACCAATTCGGGTTTAGAGCTTCCATACTTGGGTCCCTGCACGCTTCTTTTAGGACAGGGCGGGGTGGAAGTTGGGAGGGCTTCTGTATTTACAGGAAGCAAGAGATCAGGTGCTAAATTCATCAACCTGAAATCCATTTCCAAAAGATAACGTTCTGCTCCCGCCTTCCCTGTGCCTGAGACCACTGCGGATCCACCTTCCCAGGGGCCGCTCCTCGTCTATCCGCAACGGCCGCCGTTTCCTCCAGCTTGCCTTATACCTACGGGGGTTTATCTCCCTGGCCTTCCTTCATGAGTCCACAGCCCCATAAATTGGTATCTCCAAACTAAAGGTTTATGGCATAGTTTCAGTCTGAGATCTGGACCTTTCGCAAGACTGTCAGGAGCGATTTAATCTGGAGGTCCTCCCCTGCCCCCAAGGATGCTGCGGGCTCTCCATGCCCAGCCCTAATCCCTCTGTGCGCACCACCTTTCCCATAGATGGCTCTGCTTGGCTTCCTGTGACTCCACGCTGTTCTCATTTGCAAGATCTTCTGGGCCATGGGTCTGACACGGACGCTCCTTCAGAACACCTGTTTTCTGCTCTCTCACCCCCTGGCCCCTCAGCAAAACCGCCACTGCACTCGAGGGCCTCTGACTTGAATCCTTTGGTGTGATCACCTCACCTTCGCTGCTTACAGTCGGCCCCCATGCGCCTCTTCACTTGACTTCTCCACAGCCTGTTGCTCTGTTCACTTTTCAGTTTTGACTTTCCCCACCTATAATTTTCTCTTGAGAGACAATTACTTGACTACTTGTGGCATTTCATTTCCTGTGAACTCCTCCGGGACTGAGTGAGCTATTCAGTCTTGCTTTTCTATTTACCGTCATGACTTAGAAGGGAATCACACACGAGAGTCCCTCCTTCCCAGCCCCTACCCCCTACCATCACCGTCAATAACCTCATTTGGCAGATGAAGAGTCCGAGGCTCAGAGAAAGCTGGGTAACTGGCCCAGAATTCCAACATCTCACTCTCCCCGCCAGACCCCACTCCTCTCCTAGAGCTCGGGGACACTCCTGACCCATCTCTAACACTGCCCCCCAGGCCTCCATCACTGCAGCCTCGCCTGCCATCAGGGGCGACGGCGGGCTGGACTGTGGCCGGGTACCCATCCATCTCCAAACAAACAGAGTGTATTACTCTCCTTCTTGGGCTCTGACTGCATCCACCCTCCGGACTCCAATTTTGCTTCCGAATCCAGTTGGAAATTGGCTCTTCCTGCTCGTGAAATTCCCCACAGATTTATTTGTTCTAGTTAATTTCATAAATCTTTCTTCCGACTATCAGTCAGAGTCACCCACGCTTACGGAAAGCCTCGTGTGCCGGCTGAGGAGGGATCCAGCAGAGGGAAGAGAAATACTGATAAACACATTTGCGGAGCAACACGATGACAAGTGCAAAGGCAAATAGCACACGCTGAGAACCAAAGCGTCTGAGGGTGCATCGAGGAAAGAAACGAAGGAGCAGTTTCATCAGCGAGGCAGACTCCCCCGGGGCGGGACTGAGCCTGGGGTGACGGCAGGGAGGGGCACTGCTGGACAGACATGGTGACGCCTGCAAAGGCACGATGCAAGGTCACCTGTGACCTCCTAATTGCCAAATCTGATGGCTTTTTCTCAGTTCTCTTGCTCCTTGACATCTCTGAAGGATGAGTCAGCCCAAAGCAGCCCCCTCCTTCCCGAGCCCCCTGGCTCCGTGGCCCTGGTGTCCTGGCACTGGTCTGGTTCTCCCACCTCCGAAATGTGGGCACTCCTGTGGGTCTCTCCTTGGCCCTCTGCTCCCAGTTGCTGTCCCGTTTAGTCTCTTTCCCCTGTCACTTCTTGGGTCAGGATCTCTCTCCCATGTTTTGTCTATATCTCCAACAACCTGTGGATGGTTCCGCTAGAATGCTGGGCCTTCACCCAATCTGTTTGTTGACAGCCAGGCTCGTGTCGCACCCCCAGGTCCCAAGTGCTCTTGCTCACCCATCTCACTGGTTCTGCTTCCATCTCCATTTGCCCACACCTCCCAGCTGTACCCAGTCACCTCTGACCGCATGTCCCCACTCCTCCCACGCCCTGCGCTCTCCTCCCCACTCCTGATGTCCTTTGCTGAGTCTCAAGCCCGCGTGGCCTTTGTTGTCACTGCTGACACTGCACGAGTTACCTCATACCTCAACCTGGGCTCTGTGCCCTGCCTTGTGATGTGGGAGCAGGGACTCTGCAGACATGCGTCTCCTTTGCCAGGGGCTTCCTGTCCGGCTCTGCCAGTGCGAGTTCTAGAAAAAGACTGGCAGCTGGGAGAGGGGGGATGGGCTTGCCCCTTTCCCACCTGCCTGCTGTGTCCCTTAGCAGTACCCTGGCAATGGCCTTCACCCCAGCAGCAGATCCTAACTTCTCTCCAGTTTGTTTGTTTTGTATTCCCAGATATTTTGTATTTGTATTTCTATTATTCCCTCTCAGAGATGCCAGCATCGCGGGGCAGTGCCCCCTTCTCAGAGATCTGCATCGCGGCTCCCCAGGGCCCTCCTGAACTTTTGATGTCCCTTCATCCTCCCAGGCCTCCAGTACCTGTTTGATGGACATCCTGCATGAATTCTCACCGGTGTAGTACCTAAGGCAGGTTCTGCTTTTTTGCCTGGACCCTGACTTCTGTTGCACTGGTAGCAAGAATGGTCTCAAAACCCAGACCCTCAGCATGGCCTGGAATGGATTTGGTCATGTCTTGCCTGAACACGGGGCCCAGCTCCCTGCCAGTGGGGAATGGGGCTTAGTGATCCGTGGCATCACGTGGTGGGTGACCGAATTCTTGAGGTCCCATCCCAGCAGAGCTGTGCCCCCTCCTCAGGAATCTGGATCCCAGCTCTGTGGGCTTCTTCCTCAAGCCTCTGATAACCCAACCTCTATCTACCACTTCTGTGTCACCTCCATGTTTTCTTCTTGCTTTTCCAGTTCTCCTCCATTTGGAGAAACGGAACCGTTGAACCAATTCCGTGTAATAAAATGCCTAATGTTATTTTCTGTTTTCTTGACTGGGTCTTGCCTGAAGGACTCCCCACCTGCCCCGCTCTGCTTTTCATTTTTCTCTTTGTTCTACCCCCGCTGTCGGCACCAATAGATGGACCTTCCCAAGATAGTGTTTGATCCTGTCACGCCCTCATGAGGAAGATACCTTCTACTGTGTAACCCTCTCTACTGTCAACCCTGAATCCACCTCCAAATAGCTCTCTAACTATCCCTTACACCGAATCTGGACCCTACACTCCTACTCCCTTGCCCTTGGAGAAACCCTCAAAGGTAACTTCCTTCCAGGTCTCCCCGCCCAAGTCCAAATTCTCTGCCCGGCAAAGCTCCGTGTCCTTTCGCCACTGCCTCTGAAGGCCATCCCTCCCTCTTGCCTTTACCTGGGAGGCTCACTGCTGGTAGCCTTAGACTTGATGTCGGAGCCACCTTCTGGCGAGGCACTATTATCATCCCCACTTCCATCAAGGGGGAGTAAACTGTGGTACTTAGGGCACACCCCAGCTGTGCCACTTACTAGCTATGTGACCTTGAGTCAGCGATCTCCCTCTGAGCCTCAAGTTACCACTTCTGCACAAAGGGAAGAATAGCACCTGTCTCGTAGAATTGTTAGGAGGATTTAATGAGCTAATATGTGCAGTACCTGACATTTCTGAAGTTATATTTAAGTGATTTTTAAGTAAATAAAACAGATAAATGCCAAGGGTGCAGTCCCTCCTCATCTCCTCATCTGAGCCAGAACAATTAGCAGCTATGCCTTGAGGCATTTCTCTGGTATCTGGCACACAAAGGGCATTCTATCCGTGTTTTCGTTCGATTATAAATTATTCTGCAAATCTCAGCACTGCCACGAGTGTAGGGGCTGGCCTGGTTCATCCCTGTATTCCCGCTATACCTTGCATGGTGACTCACACAGAGCAGGTGCTCAATAAACATCTGTTGAATGAATGAGCACTTGAATTGAGTATCGATGACCAGTTATAGGAGAGAAAAAAGACAGATAAACTCAATTTAAACAGTAGGCCTGGGAAGAGAAAGGGAAAATAAAACCAGTGAGGGGAGTGCGTGCGGGGGGGTGGTGGTGTGGAGAACGAGAACTTGGTGGGTGGTGGGGGGGGGGTAGGAACCTGATTCATTGTGCTGAGGTCTTTTTGGTTTCTGGAAACTTCCAAGAGGAAATGCCCTCAAGGCCCTGAAAGGAGGCTGCAGTTGAGGACTAGACTGGAGTTCAAGAATCACTTACTCAGGCAGTGGCTGAAATCAGGTGAAACAGTGCCTGAGGGAGTGCGCATAAAGAGGGGCAAAGCCTCTACACTTGAGGCTTGAGGCAAGTAGAGCTGGGGGGCTAAAAACAAAGCCCTGGAAATCAGCTCACCGGGGTCTGGATGCCAGCTCTGCTGCATCCAGCTGTGCGACCCAGGGCTAGTGTCTTAACCTCTCTGGGCCTCAGATGCCCCAGCTGTAAATGAGGATGACAACAATACTGATCCAAGAGGGTTCTTGTGAGGATTCACTGAGATACCTGTGTTGAGGGTTCCTGTACAGTGTTGGCACATAGAAGGTGCTCGGTGAGTGAGTCCCATGATGGAAGTTGAATTAAGAGATAAGAGAAAGAAGAATAAGAGAAAGAACAGTTAAGAGAGAGAAGCGCACATAAGAAAACGTACAACTTCAGAAAATAAAAAACGCTCTCACCTTATCTGCAAGGAAACTGAGGCTCAGAGAAGTGCTGTGTCCAAGATGACAGAGCCGATCAGAGGAACAGCTGGATTACTTTTGTTACACAATACTACCTTCCCTGGGCTCTGGAAACTGGAGACCTCTCCTGAGAACGACTGATCTTTTTTTTTTTTTTTTTTTGCTCCAGTATGATCTGAGTTACTATTGTCAGTCATCTTTCTGTGTGGCCCTTTTATTTTCAAATTAGAAAAGCCATTAAAAATAGCATCAGTTTCAGTCTGGATGAGAGGAAGCCAAAAAGGCATCTCTTTTTCCTCTATATAGTTTCTTACCATTTCTTTCCTGAGCTGGTCAGGGAACCCTGGAGAGAGCGCGGGGTTCAACGGTAACAGAAGTGAAGAGTTTTGGAGTTGGGCAGGTCAGGGGGCTGAAATCCTGCCTATGACTTTCCTTCGCTGGGTGGGGGGGGGGGTGACCTTGGACAAGAGTGCCTCAGTAGAGCAGAACAATACAGCACCTATTCCAGTGTGCTATGGTGAGGGGACTGAATGAAGTACCCATGACTGGCATATGCACTAAGGACTCAATAAAGTACATCTATGTTCAGGGGCCCCAGGTCAAAACTCAGGCAAATATTTTCCTAAACGTGCAGGCAAATAAAGGGAACACCACAAATGTGAATGCCACATTGTCATGCATTCCACACACAGTTACTGAGCACCTCTTGGGTTCCAGATACTGTTCAGGATGCTTGAGATATAGGAGTCAACAAAACGAAGATTACTGCCTTTGGGGGATTCAATATTCATGTCCTCCTGAGTGTGAGGCGGCACAGTAACTCTGGCTCTTAAAGACAACACACATGGGCCTGTTGCAAACTCTGGCCAACTGTACATTACTGTCTCCAATCCCTGTTATCAGAGGGGGTGGGGTCAGGAAAAAAAATCCCACAAGTAAAGACTTCCAAAGTCAGTGATACCTGACTTTGGGATACAGCACATGATTTACATGAAACACTTATGGTGTGTTTAGCCTGACTTTTTTTTTTTTTTTTTAACGAGTCTATTCCTCCTGAACACAGCTCAAAAACTGGTGAAGGTGGTCTCAGAGTATGGCAGGGAGTGGGGAAGTCAGGGGGAGCTACAAATGTGCTCTGGAAGATAATTCTCCCACCCTAATGGAGTTTACTCTATCAGTAATTACATTAACTCGCTTTTGGAAGAGACGAAAAAGGGAAAGAGGGTAGGCAATTTAGGAGAACAAAAGCTCTCAATAACTTACGAAGTCTCTGGACTCCGGAGAATGTAAATTTCAAACTCACCTGCCAGGATGCATTTGGCCGCCAGCTTCACCATGGTAACCAACCACCTCCGCGGACGAGAGAAGGGAAGAGCGGCTGCTAGAGGCGTTGGGGGGCTTGCCTGGGAAGGTAAGTGGGGAGAGGAGAGGCTCAAGGGGCCTGTGGCCGCGGTCGGAACAGGGACAATGGGGCCCGGACCTGCTGGGCTGGGCTGGGGGCGGCTATCGGGCGCTAGGACTGGGGCGGGGGCGCGGAGGAGCGCCAGATGGGGCTCGGCTCAAGGCCTCAGAAGACGGCCTTGGAGGTGCGAGCGAGGCGACGCGGCTCCCGTTCCCAGCCCAGCCTCGGCAGTGGGACCGAGAAGTGTGACCCCGCAAGCCTGCAGCCCCAACCCAAACACAGTGCCAGAGGCGCTCCCGCTCACCCTGCGCCCGCCTGCCCCGCCTCCTCCTCCTCCCCGCTGACCCGCGATTGGCTGCCACCAAAAGCTCCCGCCCCGAAGGCTCTCGGAGGCCAGTGGGAGGAGGGGGCGGCGCTAACAGGCCTCCCTTGACGGACAGTTCTTAGTGGTATTTGCGCTTCAAGCTCATCCCGCTTGACGAATGGTTACGCGAGATGTCAATCATTACTACTCCCGCCCCCGGGCCGCCGGAAAGTTCGCGGGAATGAAGCTCCAGTCTCGGTAGCCAGAAGCAGTGATAAGAGAAGCTTTCTGATTGGCCAGAAGTTGGCTTGGACCATCTGCGGGTGGAAGGGGGATTCGCCGTTCCCCCCCGCCGTTTCGGAAGTGAGTTCGCCCACGAGGAGCCGGTCGGGCGCGCGGGAGTTTGCAGCGGCGCCTGCGCAGTAACGAGGCCGCAGTTGCCGACACGGATCTGTGAGCCGGTTACTTCGCAGAGAGTCTTATGGCTCAAGTTCGCGGGCACCTGGGAGCAAAGCCGCGTTGGTGCATCAAGAAATCCGGTTCCTGCCCCACATCCCGCAGGGAAGTCCGATTTTTTAAAAAGCCCAACGACATTATGCGCTGTAAGATCTAAAATAGGACCGTGTTTATAGTGATGTCTGTGAACGAAAGGGAGAGCAAGTAAACTTTGCCCCGGGCGAGGGTTGCTCTCCGGAATGTGAAGTCCTCCTTTCCGCTGAGCCCACTTCCTCGCTTGTACGATGGAGAACGTGTGACACCCCCTCCTCCCCCGCCCCCCGCCCTCCGCCCTACTGAATGAAAGCGGGCCTCCAGGACTTTGCCCGTCGCTCAGGAGGGCTGCGCCCATCTCCGCCCACTTGCCAGGGAGGTCCCTCTTGCTGGGCGGTCAGAAAACCAGGCTGAAATCCCCACCGTCTTGGCCTGGCGCGTCGCCTCACCCTGAGCCTCTTTGCTCATATTTGAAGATCGGCCAGCAGAACCCGCCTCTGGGGTTGTCCTGAGGAGTACAAGAGGGGAAAGATGTAGGGGCCCCGGGCACAGTAGGTTCTCAACAGTGATTGTCGAATGGATGAAAGAAGAAATTTATCTGGACAGATTTGGCTTATCACCATCACGGTGATGACATCATGGCCAGATGCGCCCCCGAGGTCACTCCTGCTGACCCCCTCTAGGGTGGCTGGCGCTGGGAGGGAAGAGTAGGCCCTGGGCGAAGGTTCTTGTGCCGGGGGTTCCCATCACGAAACGCTCCTTCACCAGGCGTTTCTCTCAGCTGCTCTGTGACTTCGTGTGGCTGCCAGCCACGTGCAGGGCAGTGAACACACGCACACTCATCAAATTGCTAAGAACTTTTCAGTCCCGATTCTGGAGTGAAACAATGCAAGTTGCCTGGAATTTTCTTTCCTTAGGAATCATTCCTGGTATTATGGTTGAGGCCTCTCTGCCTCTCCTTCGTTCTTTTTAACCTGCTTTTCTTTTTTGAGGACATCATGCACAGCTGAATCAGGCACCTCAGGCCTCTGTGAGTCAGAATGCCTCTGCCTGGTCTTCCTGCTCCCCCTTCAGGCTGTCCTGTCCATCGTCACTCTGCTAATCCCTTCGAGGACCCCTTGAGTGAGTCCCCTCCCGAGGCAGCTGCATGGAGCTGAGACACTGAGCTACATCTGAGGGGAGGCTTCTGGAGCCCCCATTTCCTCGAAGGGGGTAATGGCACCTCCCTCATAGGCTGTTGTCCTCCGCACCACATCCACTCTCCCTCTGGTTGCCACTCTGTGATTTGGGTCAGCATTTTGGATTTTTCCGGTGAGATGCTAAACTGTGTATAATGAATTCTACCCCGCTTACTCCACAATCCCCAGGGCCTTCTGTATATTCTTAATGACTAATGACAGCTGCCTGACCGTCCCTGGTTTTAAAGAGGTCAGAGAGCTTTGGAGCCATAAGGGCCCTTGAGAAATTCTAGTCTGACCCCTCCCTGAGCTGCTGTAGTGGCTAAAGCTGGCATATGTTGAGCACATTATGAATACTGGCCTCATCCTGAGCACCGTAAAGGCTTAATTAATTTTCTTTTCATGTTCGTATGTGATATTCATAATAACCCCTGTGAGGCTTGTATCATCCCTGTTTGATAGATGGGGAAACTGAGGCCCAAATGAGGAAAAGGCTGACACCCAGAGTCACAAAGCTAGTGAATGGCGGAACTAGGGATTGAACAAAAGGAGATTGTCAAGCCCGTGGTGTTGACAGGAACCTGTCCTTCCTCCGCTGTCTCTCACACTTCCTTCCATCCTAGAGAATAAATTTATTGAGTTCCTTGCAGTAATAGGTCATGTCAATTGAGCCTCATATGCCAGGGATGTGCTAAACACTTCACATCCTCTCTCTTGTTGGCTGCAACGACTCTGAGAAGTGGAAACTGTCATTACTTCCGTTCAACAGGCAAGAATCTGAGGTTCATGGGCAGCCCAAGGTCCTGCGACATGTCAGCTGGAGTCAGAACGGACCTCAGGTCCTGTTCTTGGGACTGATGTCTTTTTCCATTTCCCGGTGCAATCTTCCCAGTTTCATTAATAAGCTTTCCTTGAGTGCCTGCCCTAGGCCAGGCCCTGGGCTGGTGTTCGGGGCTACGAAGTGAGGGTGACAAGAGTCGCAGGTGACTCTGTCAGACTGTGGTCCCGTGGGAGTGCTGGCCAGTGTTGCAGGCCTGTTTTCTGGAGGAGGCCGGAATCTGGATTTTGTGTGAAATCCTCTGACTCTCAAATGATCTGCGCCTGCTTGTGGTGAGTGTTGAACGGGAAACGATTTGTTGAACGAAGAGAAAATACTCTTTGCTGTGGTTCCCGGACTAGCAACATCAGCCCCGCCCCCCAACAGGGACTTGCTGGAAATGCTCATTCCCAGGCCCCGCCCAAGCCAACTGAACACTGGGGGTAGGAACCACAGTCTGTATTCATAAGCCTTTTTGGTGATTTTGATGCATGCTATTGTTTGAGAACCTCTGCTCTTAGGTCATGGTAGGGCCCACCTTTATCCATTTTCTCTGTTTTACTGTTTCTCAAACTCCCCGAGACCCTTCCTAACACAGGGCCTTTGCAGTTACTATTCTCAACGTGGCTGCATGACTCTTTCCCTCGAACCTTCAGATCTTGTTCAAATGTCATCTCCTTGGAGAGGCCCTCCCCAAGCACCCAGTTTAAAGAATCACTCCCAATCTGTTGGTCTTAATCGCTTTGCCTTATTTTACTTTCTTCATAGCACTCCCCACTACCCGATATTATATCCTGTACTAGTTATTTGTATAGTATCTGTCTCCCTCCACTAGGAGGTAAGCTTCATGAGGACAGGGACTTGGTCTCTTTTGTTCTCCCAAGATCTCTAACGGTGCCCAGCCTGGTGAGATACTTGGTAAATATTGCTGAGTGAAGGAAGGAGTCTTGTAGAGTTTACCTTTCGGGTCATTCATTTATTCATTCTACAAGTACTGATTCTTGAGTACCAATTCTTGTGCAGGCAACAGGCTTGTTGGCCGTGGCCATTCAGATGGGGACTGCCTGTGGCCTGGGTCCTCTGCTGCCTCCCACCCCCTCGTACATCAGCTCCAGATCTGTAGAACCTCCAGAGCCCACAGACTCAGAGGCTCTGTGGAATTGGAGGGCTTAAATAGCACTGCTCCCCAAAGCCGGGGACTGGGCTGTTTGGGCTGATTTGGAAGCGAGGGTTTGGGGGGAGGCAGCTGCTGACAAGTTGTTCCCAGGGACTGTTCCATCATCCTGGGCTTGAATGCTTCCTGACAGCCCTGACAACACAGCGTGCGCCCAAGCTGCGGCTTGGTACCACAGACAGCTGCAATACTCCACGCACATGCCCGGGCCGATCGTGCCCACTGTGGCCGAGTCCTTCCACCATTGCTCCAGGGGGTTCTCCTCTGCTTAGGCAGCTCCTCAGAGCCCCCATCGCTTGTAGGGTGGATTATGAGCAGGATTGTTGGGTGCAAAACAACTCCTTTGGATAAATAAGAGGCTTTAGGGGAAATTCGTGGGGAAAACCTCTTGAGAGTTATTCAGCATGAAGCCTCGAGAAGAATATGTTTCATGCAATAAGGCCGATTTGCTCTAATGCCCTCATGTCGGGGGGGGGGGCAATGCAAAAGAGAGGACTAGTAGATTTGGGGGAATTTTATGTATTTTGATGAGGGCTTCTTCACCTTGGCGCTATTGACATTTTGGAGGATAATTCGCTGTTGTGGGGGGCTGTGCTGGGCATTACAGGTGTGTGGTAGCATCTTTGGCCTTTACCCACTAGACGCCAGAATCATCTCCCTCGTTGTGACAACCCCAAATGCCTGCAGATATTGCCAAATGTCCCCGGGCGGCCAAAATCATCCATGGATGAGGACCGCTGATGTGTGAACTCAATGAGTAAGGAGTATTGATTTTAAAACTGAAATTTGCAAGGGCCGGGACTCAGACTTTCGGTCTGGGTTCAAATCCTGCTTTGCTTCTTAGGTTCTGTTTTGTCATCCCTGCTCCTGTGGGTGCTGCACGGATCAGCCGAGTTAACTCCCAGAAGGGGTCTAGAACAGCGCCTGACAAGGAGTAGGATTCACTAAACACCAGCCCGTACTAACAGCGACCGGGATGCTGATGAATCCCCCTTAGGGTGATCTGTAATGCAGCCTCGGCGGCGTCTGTCTGACAGTTTCCTACGATGCACTGCGTCTCATCTGCCTCCTGGTGTGCTGCCTTCTCATGGTAATGACCTTTGCTGTTCGTTTCTCCGTTGTTCACGTGGGCCTGGCTGTTTATGCCTCCACTGATGCGATGCCTGGCGGTGGCCATCTCGATAAAGGGCAGAGGAAATGTGACGGACTCACCTCCTGTGCGCCTGGAATGCAAAGTGGAGCCTTGAGCTGTGTGGCCTCACAAGTGCACGGAGGCTGCGATGTCCTGATTCCATCAGCAGGGGGCAGCAGCAGCTGGGAAAATGCCTGTTGCAG